TCTTTATCACCATCTAAGGTTTTGTTTAAATGAACTATTAGATCAGGTGTTATCCCAACAGCTGGTCGTAGACTGGAAATGTCTCCTAACAATCTTTGGAAGTCATTAAGAGTCTTTAACCGGTCTCTCCTAATTTGTGCCTTTTGCGTTTTAATTTTCTCTAACCCTATTCTGTAACCTAGGTAATTAATAGAATTTCCTCTTTGAATCTTTTCAGGGGCAATTTGTAATCCCCACCTAGGCAAGACTTTCTTTACTTCTTCAAACATCCTTTCTAAAGTATCTTTATTTGAATCAGATAATAAGATGTCATCCATGTAATGATAAATGATGGACTTGGGGAATTGTTTACGAATTATTTCCAATGGCTTACTTACAAAATATTGGCACAGTGTAGGACTATTGAGCATACCCTGTGGGAGGACAGTCCACTGATATCTCCTATTAGGCTGAGAATTATTATAAGTAGGCACTGTGAAGGCAAATTTTTCTCTATCCTTTTCTTGTAACGGTATAGTGAAAAAACAATCTTTCAAATCAATAACTATAAGAGGCCATCCTTTTGTTAACAGAGAAGGCAAAGGAATTCCAGATTGTAGTGGGCCCATAGGTTGAATTACTTTGTTGACAGCTCTTAGATCTGTCACCATTCTCCATTTACCAGATTTCTTTTTTACAACAAACACAGGAGAATTCCAAGGGCTGGTTGATTCTTCAATATGGTGAGCATCTAGTTGCTCTTGCACCAGCTGTTCCAATGCCTGTAGTTTATCTTCAGCTAGAGGCCATTGTTTGGTCCGTATTGGCTTCTCAGTTAGCCATTTTAAAGGTAGGGCCGTTGGTACCTCTAAAGGTTTGGTATTTGCTGTATGTTCTTGTACAGCCTGAATGGCTGGTGACCTTTTTCCATAATACCTCATCATATCCTTCCCAGAATTATGAGTTCCTGGAAATACAGGAATGTTAATCTGGGTATTCCATTGCTGTAGCAGGTCACGGCCCCATAAATTTATGGCAATATTGGCTATATATGGCCTTAGTCTTCCTATTTGCCCTTCGGGCCCTATGCATTCAACCCATCTTGTGCTTTGTTTTACACGAGATAGGGTTCCAATTCCCAGGAACTGAACATCTACCTCTTGAAGAGGCCAATTCGGATGCCAAGATTCTGGGGTAATGATACTTACATCCGCACCTGTGTCTAATAAGCCTTCAATAAAAGTGCCATTTATACAGACTCTTAGCTTTGGTCTTTGATCATTAATAGAAGTCTGCCAAAATATACGTTTACTCTGTCCTACTGGGTTTTTTGACTCATCCTCCACACGTAATTCTTCATTTAGACCAGTATTACTTTTTATAGCAGAAATTGGAGCTTTTAATTTTCTTGGTGAGGCACGTTCTCCACTGTGACTGGGAATGACTGGGCCACTGTTGGCTTGGGGGCCTGCGAGAGGCCCCCCAAGGAGTTTCCCGATGATATCGGATTGCCCCGTCTGTCTGTTGTTGACCTACATTCGTTGGACCAATGCCTGCCTTTACCGCATCTCCTACATATACCTGAAGGCCGAGGTCTCCTATTTTTGTCATTCCCAGAAGAGATATTATTCCTAGAAATTCTTTGCCTGCAATTCCTTTGCAAATGTCCTAATTTACCACAATTAAAACACCTGGCAGTTTGATGTCTCCTCATTGCTTTGGAAATCGCTTCTCCTACCCAAGATTCATCATTATAGCTAAACGTCTCAACATTCATCGTATGCTGAATCCATTCATCCATAGGTGCTGATCTAGACTTTAAAGGCCCAATTATCTTTTTGCATTCTATGTTTGCATTCTCAAAAGCTAGAGATTCAAGAAGTATTCGTCTAGCTTCTGGGTCTGTTACCCCTATGTCCAGAGCCTTAATTAATCTTTGCAAAAAGTCAATAAAGGGTTCTCTCTGTCCCTGCCTAATTCTGGTATATGATTCAACCCTTTTTGCTGGATCTTGTATCCTATTCCAAGCATTTAAAGCTGCTTGGTGACATAGACACAGTACTTCATCGTCATAAAGAGCTTGGACCTGTGGATCAGCATATTCTCCTGCACCAAGAATTTGATCTTGGGAAACCTCAATACCTTTTGCTCTTCCTTGCTGTTCCATATGTTTGGATTCTTCTCTGAAATAAATTCCGATCAAGGAAGGTCCATTATCTAAAACTGCAGACACTAACTGATGGAAATCATGGGGAGTAGCTCTAGCATTAGAAGCCCAAGTCCTTATCATTTCCTTTACATATGCATTCCAAAATTAACAACAGCTTGCTTAATTTCTTTCAGATCATTCATTGCTATTGGCGTCCATCTAGCTTCTCTGACTCCCTTTGAGCCTTTAGAAGTTGATGCTTTTTCAGAATTAAGTATAGGGTATGTCGCTAGAACCCTGGGTAAGCCAGTTCTAATAGCTGGTGGAGGCCTTGTATCCTGTCCTTGTGCCTCCTTACTCTGTTCACCAGCTGCAATAATTTCCCCAATCTTTTCAAATCTTTTTATCATTGTCTCTCTTAAATCCTGAATCTCCTGACCTGTATATATTTCCAGTGATTTCACTGAGGTATCAATTTTTTGGTCCCCATTCTGCACCTGTGATTCCAAAGCTTTAATTTTTTTCCTTCAAAGATAACATGTCCTCCTTAAACTTTTCTTGTATATCATGTAGATTCCCATCTTGGAGGTACATTCTGTCTGTTACCTTATCAAAACTTTGTGATAAAGTCTGAACGTCAAATTCAACAGCCTGAACCCTTTCAGGTAACTTTCTAATACCCTTGGATATGGAATCAATTTTGTCTGTCATAGTATCCACTTGTTCAGATAACCTCTGATTTTCAATAATTTTAATCCTGTCAATTAGTTGTTCATTATTAGTTCGTAAAGATTCTATCATTCTTAGGAGTGCCATATTCTTCTGTTCATTATTAGTTTGTAAAGATTCTATCATTTTTAGGAGTGCCATATTCTTCCTTAATGATAGAATATGGAAAAGAAAACTGAAGGCTAGTAACAAGCAAATTAAGGTATCCCCATAATCATATAAACCTTGTATGATGTAATTCATTGTATTAGTAAATATAAATTTACTAATCCATTGTATTAGTGAAAACAAAGCAGTAAAATTTGCGTTAGAAACAAAAACTGCAATATTACCTATCATCCAGCAGGTGGCGCTGTTGCAGAGTCGCGGTGAAAACATGGTCCTGTTTCAGTGCCTTAGTAGATGTTAAAAACTGGAAAATGCAAGTTTCTCAACAAAGTAAATATAATTAAATCAATTCCTGAGACGGAACCAGAAACCCAGAATCCAGGGGTAGAGAAGAGCAATCTGGAAGCCGCTTATGCCTCCACGTGACAGAGTCACCCTGAGGGGTTGCAGCTTTCAGCAACCACGTGCTCTGGTTCGTGCCACTTAAGAGCTGTACTTGCAAGGGAGATTTAAAAATGACTCAGAAAAGAGCAAACCACGCGGCCAGAGACTACGCGGGCCTGTGGAGTTTAAATCCACGTGGGGAGTCCAAGGCCGCTGGCGGCTGAGGAAGGGGAGGGCTCCCGCCAAGGCGAACTAGAGCCCGCCAAGCCCGCGGCCGCCAAGCTGAACTTGCGCCCGCCAAGCCCGCAGCCGCCAAGCCGAACTTGGGGCCGCCAAGCCGAACTCGCGGCTGCGAGTGGGGAAAGGAGAGGTTCTAAAACCAAACGTTGGGTGCCAAAATGAAGGCGTAAGTCACAAACAATGCCACACCAATTCGGGGTTATGATTATTAGGGTGGTATTTATTTAAAGGGGAAAAAACTTACAGATCACTGTCCCAGGCAACAGCCCTCTACGCAACCAGGAAAGGAGTCTAGTCGCAGGTGGAGCAGGAAGTGAAGAGAGCGAGGAGAGGGAAGTGGCCGCTTTTTTAAAGGGAGAGAAACCACGCCCCAGTGGGCTGGTACCTCAGCGGTGATAGGCTGGAGGAGTGGGAGGACCTCCCGCAACACACAGAGAAACCTTGTCTCAAAAAAAGAAAAAGAAAACCATTCCCAGTGGATGTACTTATTTTTTAGGTTTTGGTGGTTTTTGGTTTTTTTGGGGGCGGGGGGGAGGTATATTTGTTTGTTTTCTTGGGTTTTTTGGTTTTTCGATACAGGGTTTCTCTGTGCAACAGTCCTGACTGTCTTGGAACTCCCAGAGATCCGCCTGCCTCTGCCTCCCAAGTGCTAGGATTAAAGGCGTGCACTACCACTGCCCAGCTCATGAGTGCACTTCTTCACTTTGGGCTTCTGCCTGGCACTGAAATACCGGGTAAGGGCAGGAGATATGGGTCAGCTGGTAAAGCTCCTGCTGCATGAGGATAAAGACCTGAGTTCAGATCTCCAGAACCCTTAAAAAAAGCTGGCGCTGTGGACCTGTGATACCATCAAAGGAGGTCACTTAGTCAGCCAGTCTAGCTGAATCAGTAAGCTCTAGATTTAGAGAGAGGCTCTGGCTCAAAATAGAAGGCGAAGGCCACGCAGTGGTGGTGCACACCTTTAGTCCCAGCACTCAGGAGACAGAGGCCAGCCAATGTGACAAGCAATTGAAGATAACCAACACTCATGGCCTCTTCATCCATGTGCATTAGCAACCACACATACACACACAAAGTAAGGCTAAGGACCTTAAAACGTGATCAGCTAACCAACGTTTATAGAAAACTGATTCCATCCCCAAACTAAGCAATAGGAAATAAACCTGTAATGATTACCATGATAGACCTTATTTGTGGCTTTAATAAAAGTCTCAAAAAATTACAAAGACTGAAGCTATATCAAATGTGTTCTATCATCATGATATCCAATACTGTATATGCTAATCAAAAATTACTTGAGATGAATAGGAACAAAGCACATTGTATGAAATTCTCAAAATAATAAAAATTTTATTTAAATTTATTTTTAGTAATAACAAATATACTCTCCATATACACAGAATAACTTATCTACTCAGTACTGTCCAGCCTCCAGTCTCCCACAGCTCCTGAAGAAGGCTCAGCCTCATCTTTAGCCTTCACTTGGCCAAAATAACTCTTTCCTGGAGGCTTATTCTACTGTTAAGGAAGCATTTATTTTCCTACTCCTGGATGTCAACATCTTCTATTAAATAAATATTTGTTACTTTTGAAAAAATATATCATGAAAACAGATTCAAACTAAAGACTTTATTTTTATTTATAAAAGGAGAGCATTTACTGTGGGAATGGAATGACCAGAAGACACAGATTGTAGCAAAGGCTTCACAGTTGGCAGATGATACTACTAGCCAAGGGCTCCTGGTCTAACCTGCTCTTTGACTTTGTTGTCCTGTCTTTTGAGGTGCTAGGGTTTCTCAAATGCTAAGCAAGTGCTCTACCACTGAGCTACACCCCAAGCGCCCTTCATGGTTATCTTAGAGCATGTCTGTAAATTTAAAGTCAAAGAAGGAGGGGAGGTCCAGTGAGGATATTTACATGAGCTAGACTCAGCTTCACACCTGGCAGAGCCTGAAGTACCCTGCTGTTGTCATCAAGGACGCAGTCAGGACAGCACGTGCTCTAGAACCCCTTGTCTGATTAACTGCTCACACTTCCACCGAGGCAAAAAGTGCTGTAAAAGGAAGCAGAAGGGAAAAAGTGAGAGAAATCGTTAGGAAAAAAATTTAATTATATTATGTATCAATAAAAAGCAACAGTTAGTGTATACATTCAACTTCTATAGCTAAGTAGATAAAAGCTAAACTTAACTAATTTGCTGTTATAACCAAGTAAATTGATACTAGTAGATGAACATTACTAGTAAAGTTATTTTTATAAAAGTCACTACATAATTCTTAAGCTTTATTCATTTTTATTTTATGAGTATGAATGTTTTGTCTACATGTATCTGTATCACATACATGCCTATTGCCCGTGGAGGCCAGAAGAGGGCACTAGATCACCTTGGACTAGATAGAGTCCACAAGCAGCAAGTGTGCTTAACCGCCAAGGCATCTTTCCGGCTCCTTATTCACCAACTTTTTTTTTTTAATTTATTTATTTATTTATTTATTATGTATACAATATTCTGTCTGTGTGTATGCCTGCAGGCCAGAAGAGGGCACCAGACCCCATTACAGATGGTTGTGAGCCACCATGTAGTTGCTGGGAATTGAACTCAAGACCTTTGGAAGAGCAGGCAATGCTCTTAACCTCTGAGCCATCTCTCCAGCCCCCTCACCAACTTTTTAAAAGTTATTAAAAGTGTTAAACATACACACATTCTCTCAGCCTTAGCGCCATCTTCCTTGAAACTCCTGCGCCATGAGAGTGCAGTGGAGGGAGAAGCGAATGCGCAGGCTGAAGCACAAGAGAAGGAAGATGAGGCAGAGGCTCGACTAGTGTGTCCACACAGGAAGGCCAAAAAAGAGTAAGTAAGGGATGATGAAGGCGGGGGATGCTGGTACAAGTTGTTGGACTGTGCGCTACTGTCGGTGTTAGCCTCAGTGGGCCTGGAACCTCACCATCTGCACACAGAGACCACCTAGAGACTTAACTACCTCGTTACAACCGAAACAGTTCTGCTGGCCCTTTGCTCTGGACCTGTGGCATTCTGGACCAGTTCAGTTCTCACTTGTGGCCAAGTGTAACTCATGTACAATAAACCATCTTTCTCACTGTCTCAAAAGAACATACACACACTGAATGGTACATTTGACACCACATTTATAAGTATTAAAGAATACATGTTAAGTATTTCCCCACTAGTGTCTGAACTATGTGGATGATCTATACAGATACACAGTCAGTTTTTAATTAACTAATTTAGTATGCATGCATGTGATGGTCAGGAGACAATTCTGAGGAGCTGGTTCTCTCCTGTCATCTTATGGGATCCAGGAACTGAACTCAGGTCATTGGGCCTATGTGCTAGCACTTCTACTTACTATCCCATCTTGCTGGCCCATGATCAGGTATTTTAGAAGATCCTTAACACATTAAACAGCAGAAAGAGGTTTCAAACACAGACAGTGTCCACACAGGAGCAGATGAACAGGCTCAGGCCTCACTGCCTCAGTACAGTAGGCAGACCAGCACAGAGCTCAGGAAACCTCAACAGACTGAAAGCAGTTCCACTCATCTTGCTCTGAGGACAACTTTGCTCTCGGCAGCTGCAGGTTCCCATGGTACCTTCAGAACTCAAGATTTTTTTTAAAGCACCTTAATTCATCGTGTGGTTATAATGCAACATCTTTAAGAAGGAGACACATGGGAGAAGACAGTTGATTTAATAAAGATTTTAGGGTATCTTCAAAATTGGTTCTAAAAACCTAGTTTTGGGAAATGACAGCTGCATGCTAATAAAACAGATTAGTCATCCTCTCAGGCCAGAGCACCAGATGGCCAAAGGCATTCTGTTCCAGGATGTAAACAGTCCACATCAGAATTTAGGAACAAGACACTAACTGATCACTATCCACAAGGCAGGGCAGGCAAAGAAAAAAAGAGTAGCCCCTATGAGGCCCTTTCCTCCTTTACTGTGATTTCAGAAAATGGGGAGAGGATAAAAATGAACTGTTTTAATATGAAGTCACAGCTCTTTACAATGACAATCCTACCCTATTAACTTGTTCTGCTTACATATTAAGTACTTAAAAGTTCTTGATCTATACCATGATTTTGCTTAAGAATTTTCATAAATTAGTTGGGTGGTGGTGGCACATGCCTTTAATCCCAGCACTCAGGAGGCAGAAATAGGTGGATTTCTGTAAATTCAAGCCCAGCCAGGGCTGTACAGAGAGTCTCTGTCTTACAAACAAACAAAAAACAAAACAAAGCAAAAAAAAAAAAAACAACAACAACAAAAAAAGAATTTTCAGAAATTCAGGGACAAGCTCAATCCAACATTCTTTTGCTCCTTACTCTAGTACCATGGCTATGAAACTGCAGCTTCATGCATGCTGGACAAGTGCCACCATTGAGGTGCAACTCCAGCCCATTTTTACTTTTCATTTTTGAGATATTATCTCACTAAATTGCCAGGAATGATGTAGAATTTCCTTTGTAGCCCAGGTTGGTTTTGAACTTGCTATGTAGACCAACCTGGTCTGGAACTTGTAGAGATCTGCCTGACTTTGCCTCCCAAAGCCCTGGGATTAAAGACAAGCACTACTTCAGAGACAGTTGGATCTCTGTGAGTCGAGGCCAGCCTGGTCTACAAGAGCTAGTTCCGGGCTGGAGAGATGGCTCAGTGGTTGAGAGCATTGCCTGCTCTTCCGGAGGTCCTGAGTTCAATTCCCAGCAACCACATGGTGGCTCACAACCATCTGTAAAGAGGTCTGGCGCCCTCTTCTGGCCTTCAGGCATACAGACAGAATATTGTATACATAACAAACAAACAAATAAATAAATAAATAAATATTAAAAAAAAAAAAAAGAGCTAGTTCCAGGACAGGCTCCAAAGCTTCAGAGAAACCCTGTCTTGAAAAACCAAAACTCCAAAAATAAATAAGTAGATAATAAATTAAACAAATAAATGGAAATTTAAAAAATGAAGATAAGGGGCGGGAGAGATGGCTCAGAGGTTAAGAGCATTGCCTGCTCTTCCAAAGGTCCTGAGTTCAATTCCCAGCAACCACATGGTGGCTCACAACCATCTGTAATGAGGTCTGGTGCCCTCTGCTGGACTGCAGACATACACACAGACAGAATATTGTATACATAATAAATAAATAAATAAATAGATAATTTTTTTTAAAAAAATGAAGATAAGCAACACTATATGTGGTTAGTCTTCAACTTTTGGTCTTGCTCAGTGGGATTAGCTTCTGAGTAGATGGGATTACCAACCCTTAAATTCAACATTTTAGTAGTTCCAAATAATCTGACACCTAATCAGAATAAGACTCATTATAATAATTACTCAGGAAAATGCTTAATATTAACTATAAGCAGAAACCTAGTAAATAAACCAACTTTTCTTGCCATGTGAAACATTTGCTTCAAGTATTATTTAGAGAAACTCCAGGAAGGTCAGGATGCAGAGGAACATCACAAGGATACTCATCTTGCTACGGGATCCAGCATTCCCTCACACACATTCTTAACAAGTTTTAATGTCCATGACGATGGAAAATACCTGACTATTTTTTTTAAGCAGGACTGAAGTGCCATCATCAACTTCAAATTCTCCATAGTCTTTTAAACACCGCACCTGAAAGAACAAATTGAGATTTTGTTTTTGCTTTGAGACAGGGTCTTCAGCTGTGTTGTCTAGTTGAATCTCTAACCCTTAGGCTCAAGTGATCCTACCGTGTCGGCCTCCTGACTAGCTGAGAGTGGAGCTATGGCCCAGCATCTGGTTTATGTTATGATAGGTAGTAATCAAAAAGAAAACAGGTGTTGCGTGAATATCTATGTAATAGCTAGATCTACTCAGCCTCATTTTGTAGTATTAATATGAGAACAGGATACAGGAAGAGTCTTCCACTCTTCACTATGCAGACATTTCAGGGGTTCTTAGCACACCTTTCATTTGCTGCCACAGTAAGAAGCAAAACTGAAGTTGTACTGAATTATCATTTTTAGAAATGCCCCTCCCCCTCCCTTTGCCTTTTTACAAGACAGGGTTTCTCTGTAGCTTTGGAGCCTGTCCTGGAACTAGCTCTTGTAGACCAGGCTGGCGTCAACTCACAGAGATCACCTGCCTCTGCCTCCCGAATGCTGGGATTAAAGGCGTGCGCCACTACCGCCCCTGATTTATCTTTTTTTTGTTTTGGTTTTTCGAGACAGGGTTTCTCTGTGGTTTGGGAGCCTGTCCTGAATTATCTTTTAATTTGTAAAAACTGCTTAATGATCTCAGCTTGTTCTTTATCTTAACCTTATTCATTAGGCAACTAGGTTATCAAAAGTAAGAGGTCTCGTTTGGAAGTCAGAGGAGTAAGGCAGCCTTTGACAGCAATTTCTGCAAAGAGCTAGCTGGGCTGTCAGGATGGCTCAGAGGTAAAAGCACTTGCCGTGTAAGCCTGGTGACCCCTGATCTCACAGGATATGGAGAGACCCAGCTCCCCAAAGTTATTCTCATGTATACCTAAGGACACACAACTGCACTCAAATACACATTACATGCAAGTAGTTTTCTTAAAGGGACAACACTAAGTGCTATCTAGGAAAACAGGGAGGCATTTCCACCTCACGAGAACTGGGAAGGAGTTTACTCTCCTGAGGGTTAGGGCTCATACTGCACTGCCATTGACTTTCAGTAAAGCCAACTTCAGCACCAAGTACAGATATTTCTACCATGTCCTAGAATTAGTCTGAAAATTTACAATGACTCCCAGAGCTTTTTAACTTAGTGTGAGAAATACTATTAGAGGAAAATCCCCACTGCTATATTTACTTCTTTGAAAGGACTGGTTGGGGGAAAGAGGTGCTGTGGCCAAGTATGTTCCCTTCAATCACTTTGGGATTACTTTTTTCCCCATTTTGAGACAGGGTCTCCTGTAACCCAAGGTGATTCTGAACTCTTGATCATTCTGCCTCAGCCTTTTAACTACTAGGACTATGGGTATGAGCTACCACACCCAGCTTAAATGACCTACTTCTACACATTAATATTCCTAAATAAACTAACAAAAAATAGTCAAGTATGGTGGCCCATGCCTGCAATCTCCACACTCGGGAGGCAGAAGAAAGAGGATCATGAGCTAAGTAAGGGTTACTCTTGACTACATGGCATTTTCCAGGCAAACCTAGGCTGCTATCTCTTTGTCTGTCTGTCTGTCTGTCTCTCTCTCTCTCTCTCTCTCTCTCTGTATATATATATATATATATATGTGTGTGTGTGTGTGTGTATTATATTATACTCATATGTATAATATAATAATACTATCTCACAGATTCAATGCAATGCCCAGCAAAATCCCAACAAAATACTTCAAAGACCTTGAAAGAACGGTATTCTTCAAAAAAGCAAAAAACCCAGGATAACCAAAACAATCCTGTACAATAAAAGAACTTCTACAGGTATCACAATCCCTGACTTCAAACTCTACTACAGAGCTACAGTACTGAAAACAGCCTGGTACTGGCATGAGAACAGACAGGAGGACCAATGGAACTGAATAGAAGACCCAGATATCAATCCACACATCTTCAAACACCTGATTTTTGACAAGGAAGCAAAAAATATCAAATGGAAAAAAGAAAGCACATTTAACAAGTGGTGCTGGCATAACTGGATATCAACATGTAGAAGAATGAAAATAGGCCCATATCTATCACCATGCACAAAACTCAAGTCCAAATGGATCAAAGACCTCAACATAAAACCAGCCACACTGAACCTTATAGACGAGAAAGTGGGAAGTACACTTGAATGCATTGACACAGGGAACCATTTCCTAAATAGAACCCCAGCAGCACAGACACTGAGAGAAACAATTAATAAATAAGACCTCCTGAAACTGAAAAGCTTCTGTAATGCAAAGGACACGGTCAACAAGTCAAAACGACAGCCTACAGAATGGAAAAAGATCTTCACCAAGCCCACATCAGACAGGGGTTTGATCTCCAAAATATACAAAGAACTCAAGAAATTGGACACCAAAAGAACATATAATCCAATAAAAAAAAATGGAGTACAGACCTAAACAGAGAATTCTCAACAGAGGAATCTAAAATGGCTGAAAGACATTTAAGGAAATGTTCAACATCCTTAGTCATCAGAAAAATGCAAATCAAAAAAAATTCTGAGATTCCATCTTACATCTGAAAGAATAGCCAAGATCAAAACCACTGATGCCAACTTATGCTGGAGAGGTTGTGGGGAAAAGGGAACACTTCTGCATTGCTGGTGGGAATGCAAGCTGGTACAGCCCCTTTGGATGTCAATGTGGCGATTTCTCAGAAAATTAGGAAACAACCTTCCTCTAGATCCAGTAATACCACTTTTGGGTAAATATCCAAAGGATGCTCAATCGTGCCACAAGGACACATGCTTAACTATATTCATAGCATCTTTGTTTGTCATAGCCAGAACCTGGAAACAACCTAAATGCCCCTCAATAGAAAAATGGATAAGGAAAATGTGGTAAGCAGAAAAAAATAACGACAGCTTGAATTTTGCAGGAAAATGAATGGAGCTAGAAAACATTATTTTGAGTGAGGTAACCCAGACACAGAAAGACAATTATCACATGTACTCACTCATAGGTGGTTTTTAAACATAAAGCAAAAAAAGCCATCCTACAAACCACAATCCCAGAGAACTTAGACAACAATGAGGACACTAAGAGAGACTTACATAGAGCTAATCTACATGGGAAGTAGAAAGTAGAAAAAGACAAGATCTCCTGAGTAAATTGGGAGCATGGGGACCTTGGGGGAGGGTTGAAGCGGGAAGGAGAGAGGCAGGGAGGGGAGCAGAGAAAAATGTAGAGCTCAATAAATATCAAAAAAATGAAAAAAAATACTATCTCATGTCATTAATCATTTAATATCTATACATTACCCCTTGTCTCATACATATTTTAATTTTTTTCCCATTTTATTTCATGAGTATAGGTATTTTACCTGCATGTATATCTGTATACCACAAGTGTCCAAGTGGGCAGAAGGGCATTGGGAGACCTAGGACTGGAGTTACAGATGTTTGTGAGCTGCCATGCAGGTGATAGGATTGAACCTGAATCCTCTGGAAGAGCAGCCAGTGCTATTTACCACTGAGTTCCTCAAGGATATTTTTTTAGGTTTTCATGTTGAAACTAGAATCTGACAGAACTACACACACTGTATGTTATCTTACCTTTCAATCTCTAAGTTTCTTTCTATCCCTCCTTGAAAACTTTTTCTTTCATTTTGGCAATCTCTTTGTGTACCAAACACAAAATTACTAAAATGGTTATGCTGATGAAATTTTAGTTGCCATCCTAGAGACCATGGAAACTATCTCCTCCCACTCTATTGTCTCAAGTTTCCTTTCTTCTTTCTTTTTAAGCGAAGTTGGTAAATGCTCATTTTTGATAAAGGGTAGCACAATGAGTGCATTAAGATAAGTATACATACTTCAATATATAGGCTTTTGGGGGGTTTTACATCCTGTGTGATGTCCAAGCCTTCATCTCCTCCCAGTGCCCTCATGTAAGTAGCAAGAGACTTTTTGTAATGGTTGAACCACTCCATCTGTGAACATAAAAATGGTCATTTGACAAAGGTTAAAGAAAATTTGTACAAACTATGTACTACCATTTCAAAATCAACACATCCTAGGGCTGGATCTTCCCATATCAATTAACTTAATTATGAAACTCCCTCACAGACATTCCTACTGGCCCAATGATGTCTTCCCAGGAATTTTAGGTTGTACTAAGTTGACAAAGCTATCACAACTGTCAAAGTGAAGACAGCTCTGGCAGATATCAGACACTCAGCCAGTACGATCTGAGCAACAGCATATACAAACCACAGGGAAGATAAGGGCCCACAAGCTCTGCTGACCCTGCCCACCGTGTGTTGCGGGAGGTCCTCCCACTCCTCCAGCCTATCACCGCTGAGGTACCAGCCCACTGGGGCGTGGTTTCTCTCCCTTTAAAAAAGCGGCCACTTCCCTCTCCTCTCTCTCTTCACTTCCTGCTCCGCCTGCGACTAGACTCCTTTCCTGGTTGCGTAGAGGGCTGTTGCCTGGGACAGTGATCTGTAAGTTTTTTCCCCTTTAAATAAATACCACCCTAATAATCATAACCCCGAATTGGTGTGGCATTGTTTGTGACTTACGCCTTCACACAGTGCATAGAATTGGCAGGCTCCAATTGCAGAGGACCCTCGAGAATGACCAAAAAGATGCTCTAGTACACCTCACCTATGCTTTCTTTCAAATCCTATAGAACCCCCTACCCTTTTATTCTTTTCGGTACACTTTTAGTGTTACTTTTATCTCTTTCACTTTTTCTTCAGGGTTTTGTTTTGCTTTTTGAAGCCAGGGTTTTCCTGTGTAGCCCAGGTGTCCTGGAACTCACTCTGTAGACCAGGCTGTCCTCGAACTCACAGAGATTCACCTGTCTCTGCCTCTGAGTTCTGGGATTAAAGGTGTGCACTACCACCACCTGGCCTGTTTGTTTTTCGCACAGAGGTTCACTTTGTAACCCTGGTTGTCCTAGAACCTGCTACATAATCAAAATGGCCTTGAACACACAAAGCTCAGCCTGCCTCTGCGTCTTGAGTACAGGGATTAAATGTGTGTACTACCATGCCTAAATATTTTTACTTTTTTTGTTTTGTTTGTTTGTTTGAGACAGGGTTTCTCTGTAGCTTTGGACCCTGATGGAGGAAGGTCATTGGTTAAATAAAAAGAAACTACTTGGCCCTCATTGGTTAGAAGATAGGTGGGAGGAGTAAACAGAACAGAACACTGGGAGGAAGAGGAAGTGAGCTCAGACTCCACAGCTCTCCTCTCGGGAGCAGACGCCTCAGCAGAGACGCCATGCTCCCGGCTCCTGGGCAGACACACGTGATGAAGCTCCGACCCAGGATGGACATAGGCTAGAATCTTCCCAGTAAGCGCACCTAGGGGCGCAACACAGACGATTAGAAATGGGTTGATCCGGATATCAGAATTAGCCAGTAAGGGCTAGAGCTAAAGGGCCAAGCAGTGATTAAATGAATACAGTTTGTGTGTTGTTATTTCGGGCATAAGCTAGCCAGGCAGCCGGGGTGCTGGGGACGCAGCCCCGCCACCCTTATTACTACAGGACCCTGTCCTGGAACTCACCCTGTAGACCAGGCTGGCCTTGAACTCACAGAGATTCACCTGTCTCTGCCTCCCAAGTGCTGGAATTAAAGTTGTGTGCATTACACAATGGAGTACTACACAGCAGAAAAAAAATAACAACATCTTGAATTTTGCAGGCAAATGGATGAAGCTAGAAAACATCATTTTGAATGAGGTAACCCAGACCCAGAAACTCAATTTCACATGTACTCATTCATAAGTGGTTTTTAAACATAAAGCAAAGATAACCAGCTCACAAATCACAATCCCAGAGAACCTAGACAACAATGAGGACCCTAAGAGAGATGTACACAGATCTAATCTACATGGGAAGTAGAAAAAGACAAGCTCTCCTGAGTAAATTGGGAGCATGGGGACCTTGGGAGAGTGTTGAAGGGGAGGAGAGAGGCAGGGAGGTGAGCAGAGAAAAATGTGGAGCTCATAAAAATCAATAAAATTAAAAAAAAATAGTGTGTGCCACCACTATCTGGTTTTACCTTGTTTTTGAAAAAAATAAAAAAATTACTAATTTTTTAAAATTAAAATATAATTATATAATTTCCTCCTTTTCTTTTTTTCCCTCTAATCCCTCCCTTGTAACCTCTCTGCTCCTTCTCAAAATCAGTCTTTTTTGTTATTGTTACACAGATATGTGTGTGTATATATGTGTACAAAAATATAAATAATACATGTTATATACATATGTTACATATTCCTAAATATATAAATAAAACCTGCTCACTCTGTTAGTGTTACTTGAATGTACGTGATTTCAGGGCTATTTGGATTGGATAACCAACTAGGAGGGCTTAGCCCGGGGAAAGACAATTCCCTCCTACCATGCTTTGTCTATGGGTGGAGCCCACAAGATTTCCCCACTCTGTTAGCAGTCTACTTTAGCTGTCCTTCAGGTCTTGGTAGGCAGCATTACTGCTGAGGTGTCATGGGTGAAGCTTTTCTGTCATTTCTAGAAGACAGTCTTACAGCAGGTTCCTCTAGCTCCTAGAATCTGCACTGTCTTCCACAATCTTCCCTCGGCCTTAAAGGGTTTTTTTCTGATTTATCTAATTTGGTTCATAGATTTTTTTTTCACTATTAGGCAGTATTTTTTAATTTTCCTTCTCTCTCCCTCTCTCTCTCTGCCCATGTTTTCCCCTTTTGATTGCTCCCTCTATATATTTTGACTTTACATTACTGGTTTTAAGTACTCATTATATTTTTATTTTTTATTATCCTTATGACTGTCTAATTTTTGAACTTTTTCATGATTGAGATATCATTTGCTTTTCCTTTTATTTTCTAATTTCTTGCTCTTTTCTCTAAATGACATTTTTTTACTTAGCTTCTTTTCCCTTTTTTGCATTTAATTTTGCTTTTCTATTTCCCGCCTTTCCCGCCTCCTCCTTTTATGTCATTCATTTACTATTTCCGCACTCACTCTATAGATTAGCCTTGTCCTATAGCTTTGCCAGTTTGACTTTGATGGTCACTGATGACCCATTAGTGGGCTGTACTCGATTTTAAATGTATTTCTGTATCTTGCATGGCTTCTTGGTTTGTTGCTATTACAGAAATTTCCTTTCTCTCTATGAGGGTACTGGAGACTAAGCCTTCAAGAAGACCCCCAGAAAAAACAGGAAGAGAGTTCCTGACCAGCAGATATATACATCACAAGTCAGAGATCCCAAACCATGAGAAAGTGGCAAACTGGCTCCTCCAAAGGGCTGTATGTAATTCACAACTAAGCTCAGGGACAGTGAAACAGCCAGAACACTAGATGATGATTTCAAAAGTTTACTAGTAAAAGCCGATCAGTGTTTTCTAAGGCAATACAAAGAAATGGTTTAATTAAATTCAGAACCTAAAGAGAAGAAAGTCAGCAATACGGAGAGCAAGGTAGTAAAACGGGTGAATTAGGGACAAAAAGTCAGCAACCTGCTGGGTAAGTGGTGGCTCACACCTTTAATCCCAGTGCCTGGGAGACAGAGGTGGGCCTCTCTGAGTTCGAAGCTAGCCTGGTCTACAAAGTAAGTTCCAGAATAGCCAGAGCTATTACACAAAGAAAAAAAAAAAGTCAGCAACCTAGAAGAAAATGTCAGCAAAGAAACTGAAATTGTGGGGGGGAAAGCAAAATAAAACAAAACCAACGGAGCAGAAGAGGAAATAGGACATTCAAGCATCGACAAGGAAACAAGCATCACCACACGATGACTGAGCGCTCTGACGCACAATCAAGGACCAAACCTAAGAATCCACAGGACAGAAGTTAAGATAAATTTTAAAGCCTTAAGAGACTTCATCCAGTGAAATTATAACAAAATTCCCTAAATCTAGAGAAGGATATCAGACACAAGAGGTATTAAAACCCTAAAGACATATGAGCAGAGAACCTCTATATGACATATTATAGTCAAAATGTCAAAAATGCAAAGCAAAATAGAATTACAAGATGACATAACAGTTGGAAACATGTTGAAGAATCAAATCCTGATGTCTATAAAAGGTCAGAAAGGTCCTGATCCAATAGAGTAGGTGATTTCAACACACCATTCTCATTCAAACTGAGACCTCAGAATTAAATTATACTGCAGCGGCAGGGAGGTGGGTGGAGAGATGACCCAGTGGTTAAGAGCATTGGCTGCTCTTCTAGAGGGTCAGGGTTCAATTCCCAACATCCACATGGCAGCTATAACTGCCTGTAACTCAAGTGTCAGTGGATCTAATACTCTCATACAGACATACATACAGGCAAAACACCACTGCACATAAAAAAATAGGAATAAATAAAATATAAAAATGTATCCTGCAGGGGCTGGAGAGAAGGCTCAGTGGTGAAGAACACTAGTTGCTCTAGCAGAGGACCTGAGTTCTATTTCCAGCATCAACATGGTGGCTCACAGTCACCTGTAATTCCAGTGCCACAGAATCTGACCCCTTCTGACCCCTGAAGGAACCAGGCATGGACATGGTATCCATACATACACACAGGCAAATCATTCATACACATAAAATAAATCTAAAAAATAAAAAATCAAACTACACTGTAGATCAAATGAGCTTATTAGATACACACAGAATAGCTATCTAACAGGTAATGAATATACAATCTTCTCGGCAGCCCATAAGCTTCTAGAAGAGAGATCACATTCTAGGCACAAATGAAGTCTTAAAAACATACAAGAGAAGCCAGGTGGTGGTGACACATGCCTTTAATCCCAGCACTTGGGAGGCAGAGACAGGCGGATTTCTGTGAGTTCGAGGCCAGCCTGATCTACAAGAACTAGCTCCAGGATAAGGTCCAAAGCTACAGAGAAACCCTATCTCGAAAAAAACAAACAAACAAAAAAAAAAAACCAAAAACACAACAACAAAACAATAACAATAACAACCACAAAAAAAAAAAAAAAAACTTTTCCCTCCTTCCTTCCCTTATGTACAGTGTTCTGTTTGCATGTATGCCTGCAGGCCAGAAGGTGGTGCCAGATCTCATTACAGACCTCTAGAAGAACAGACAGTGTTCTTAACTACTGAGCTATCTCTTCAGCACCCCCCCCCATAACTTCTTGTATCTTATCAAATTAATGCCATAAAACTAGAAATCAACAAGAAGAAAAATACTGAAACCACACAAATACTTGGAGAGTCAACAATACACTTTTGAATGACCATTGAGTCACTGAAGGAAATTGGGGAGGAAACTGAAAATTTCCTAGAATCCAACAATGTGAGAATACAATTTACCAAAACCCTTGGTAGACAGCTAAAGCAATTCTCAAAGGAAAGGCAGTAACTATAAGGACTTACATTGAACAATTCCATACCAAATAAATAACCTAGCAATGCACCTCAAGTTTTTAGGCAAACAAGAACAGTCCAAGCCCAGATGCGGGAGGACAATAGAAATAATAAAGATCATGGCAGAAATTAATGAAGTAGAAACTAAAGAAATAATATATAGACACAATAAAAAATGGATAAATTCCCAGGCACATATGACCTGCCAAAAATAAGAGGAAACAAATCTGTTATAATCAGTGAGGCTGAAGCAACAATTAAAGGAAAGCCTCAGAACTAGATGGGTTCATTGTCAACTCCTACAAACCTTACGAGAACTAACACAAATACTTTTAAACTATTTCATGACAGAAGGAAAGAAACAATGCCAAACTCATTGTGCAAAGTCAGCATTACCATGACACTAAAACCCCATAATGATACAATAACAACAACAACAAAAAAACTACAGACAAATTTCTCTGATCGGCATAGACACAAAAACTCAATAAATTCTTTTTTTTTTTTGTTTTTTTTTTTTTTTTTTGTTTTTCGAGACAGGGTTTCTCTGTGGCTTTGGAACCTGTCCTGGAACTAGCTCTGTAGACCAGGCTGGTCTTGAACTCACAGAGATCCGCCTGCCTCTGCCTCCCGAGTGCTGGGATTAAAGGCGTGCGCCACCATCGCTCGGCTCAATAATTCTTAATAGTCAGAATTCAAGAACACATTAAGAACAGATCATGACCATGGTGACTTCACTCCAAGGACACAAAGTCAAACCACAAATCAATAGGTGTAATACAATATAAGAGCAGAAATCATGTATCACTGATGCAGAGAAGTATCAAGAGGTGTTAAGAAGGTGACTCACAATGGACCCTCGACAGTTTATGCTAACTTAATGACACAGAGTGGAGGTTAGAAACCATATGATCAGTAACTGGGCTTCGGACCTCACTAATGGTGTGGCCTCCTGGGAAGGAAGAAGACTGAGTTGTGACAGAGTTGGCAATTCAATGGTCATGTCTCTGGAGTATAAAACCCCAGTCACTTGGACACCAGCGCCTGTAAGAGTACCTGGATGGCAGTGTTTTGTGTACCATTATGGAATGTGACAAGGGGGTTTCATGCTCTGATTTGCAAGGATAAGATGCCAGAAGCTTAGAGTCTCCAACGCTTTCAGCCTTTGAGACTCATTTGACTGGTTCTGATTTGTATCCACTTTGCTTTGTAACCATTTGGCTTCCAGACACTGAAGTATGAAGTAGAATGGTTGGTTCTCTGAGGTTTGTGACTCTGGTAAAGTACTGGACCTACAGGAATCATGGAACTTGTAACTGTTGTCTAAAGTAAGGGGAAGTCCTATGTAAGACTTAGGTGAAATGTGGTGTAACTTCAAGCAGTTACTATCTGAAGTCCTTGTAAACCTGTGCCATTTTTAAAGGAGATTATTTAGGCATAGGGAGAGGTCAAGTTTCTTGTTTGAGATAGACAGTTCTTGGATAGTAGGGATTTAAATTTATGTGGCTAAATCCAGTATCTGAAGTAATCCTGTGCCTTGGTTACTGGATCAATCAAGACTTATTACCAATATGAATTATTAATATTGATTAAAACTCCCTAGAAAACACTCAAGTAATAATACCTATTTTTAATCCCAAAGAGTGATCAGTAATAAATAGCATATTGGGCAAGATGCTGGTGGTGCACACCTTTAATCCCAGTACTTGGGAGACAGAGGCAGGTGGATCTCTGTGAGTTCAAGGCCAACCTGGTCTACAGAGCGAGTTCTAGGACAGCCGGGGCTGTTATTCAGAGAAACCCTGTCCTAAAAAACAAACAAACAAAGAACTATTGGGACTCTGTTTTGTTAAGTACTTAGAATCATGCCCCACCACATACTTCCTATTATAGTATATAAGAGATTAGTTCAATGTGGAAATCACTGGATACTAAAAAACAAAAACTATTAGAGAACACAGCATTTCTATACATTTGAATAGTGCTAACTTACTTCTTCAGCAGACATGTGGAATCGCAAAGCATTTGGTAAGACACTGCCATATTCCCACCTGAGTGCTCTAATCCGAAGCAACCGGTCATACCTAAAACATGAAAGGATTAGATGGTATAAGAATAAAAGGGGTCGCTGGGTGGCGGCGGCATATACTTTTAATCCCAGCACTGGAGAGGGAGAGGTAGGTGGATCTTTGTGAGTTTGAAGTCAGCCTGATTTATAAAGCGAGTTCTAGGACAGCTAGAGCTAAATCAGTGAAACCCTGTCTCAAAAAAAAAAAAAAAAAAAAAGGAATAAAAGGGGTCAAAAGTCATTTTTCTGAGAAGACTCAGGACTCACAAAACCTAAATGGAACATATGAACTTTGTTTGGCTACTGATAGACAGCAACTAGACGACATCCTTGGGACAATGGGAAAAATGTGCGTAAGAACTGTTTAGAGTGCTGTGGTAGCAAATGCCTTAAAAGGCACGAGGACCTCTGTGAATTCAAGGCTAGCCAGGACTACATAATGATACCCTGTTTGAACCTCAGGCATTGTTTAACTCTCTAAGTTTGACAATATGCAGTGGTTACAGAAGCCAAGAGATCCTTGCTGCTTAGAAAAGAAAAGTATTAAGAATTGAGTGGTGAGGGCTGGAGAGATGGCTCAGTGGTTAAGAGCATTGCCTGCTCTTCCAAAGGTCCTGAGTTCAATTCCCAGCAACCACATGGTGGCTCACAACCATCTATAATGAGGTCTGGTGCCCTCTTCTGGCCTGCAGACATACACACAGACAGAATATTGTATACATAATAAATAAATAAATAGATAGATAAATAAATATTTAAAAAAAATTGAGTGGTGAGCTGTCATGATAATCCAAACCAGTGCAGCATAAAAACAACACACAATGAAGTAAACGTGGCAGAGCAGTAAGATCTAAGAGCTACATTCCACAGGGCAAGTTATATTACCTCACTGTTTTTATGAATACACTAGTGTTTCATAATTTTTAAAAAAATGTTTTTGATAGGAAATCAGAGCTGGGTGGTGGTGGCACAAACCTTTAATCCCAGCACTCCAGTCAGATATCTGTAAGTTTAAGGTCAGCCTGATCTACAGAGCCAGTTCCAGGACAGCCAGGGCTAGATGAAGAAACCATGTCAAAAAAAAAAAGAGAGGGGTCATAGGTGAAGTCAGGTGTGATTGCATATGGCATCAATCCTAACATTCAAGAAGAAAAGCAGAAAGATCTCTGTGACTTCAAAGTCAGACTGTTTACATAGCAAGTTCAAGGCCAGCCACTGGTAAGTAGGTAAGACCATATCTCAAAAACAAGACTAAACAAAACAAAACATAAAAAGGAACAACAGAAGATCTTGTTCCTTGCTACCCACTGAGAAACAAACTACATAAAAGGGAAAAACCTCCTAGGTTCCCTGACACTTCAAACAAAGCCCGAGACACTTACAGATATGCTACAGTGCAGCGTTGGTTTCTTAACAAAGAACAATGCCGAAATCTGATGGTTGGTATCAAATTACCTCGTCCAGCTGACTTTGCTTCATTCCTGGTAAGGACATATAAGGAGTAAGAAACATACATGTTCCAATGTAGGTAATAATTTCAAAGCCAGAATGACTGACTTACATGCTTGTTTTGTCCATTTAAAGTTAGTAGCAGTCAATCTAGCAGAGTACCTCCAGGACAGTACTTTCATTAGTATATTAAAAGATAAAGAAACCAGAACTGGGTACCACCTTTGACCCCAACACTCAGGAGGCAGTCAGAAAAATCTCTTGAGTTCAAGGTCATCCTAGAGTGAGACCCTGTTCTTTTTTTTTTTTTTTTAATATTTTTTATGGTTTATTTAACTTTATTTTATGTGCATTGGTGTGAAGGTGTCAGATCCCCTGCAACTGGATCTTCAGACAGTTGTGAGCTGCCATGTGGGTGCTGGGAATTGAACCCGGGTCCTCTGGAAGAGCAGTCAGTGCCCTTAACCACTGAGCCATTTCTCCAGCCCCCGAGACCCTGTTCTTATACTGAGTATCTAGGTTGTTTTGCTTTTGTGGTGCTGGAGCTCAAACAACCCAGGACCCTACAGAGCAAATTCCAGGGTCCCCTGGGTTACACAGAGAAACCCTGTCTCAGAGAAGGCAGGGGGGAAAGGTTCTGACTACCTCAGCTTTGATCCAGCTTTCAGCACTTTTTTTTAAAATCTTACCATGTGATGGCAGCCTCTGAAGTCTGTTCACACTGACCAAATTCTCCACTGTATGAGATACCATGCCTAACTTTAAATATCCAATACATCTATAGCCCTCTCTTGTTCTACTACGCGGTAGCCTTTTGTGATACTGGTTCTCAAAATAACTGTACTCATGTTGTCAGAAATCACTGCTATTCCTGCTCAATGGACCCTTCTTCAAACACACTAAGGCGTCTGTAAATGAAAATGAAGAATGGGAACTAAGGACTTACTTGCATTGTGGGTTTTATCTGACCCTGTCTCATCTTGTTACGTCTACCTTAACTCTTTTAGCTTAGAAGTCAAACATTATAATACATCATGAAGATGTATTGAGCATCTAGCATATGTGAAGCATTGCCCAATCACAGAGCAGCAGAAAACCCTTTAAGTTCAAGTCCTGTGCTCACTTGTACATCTAGGGTAAGATCAGGTTCAGAAAAATTTAAAAAATAAATGCATCCCCAAAGAGATAAAAAGTTCTGATTTTAACATCTCATTTCTTATTTTTAAAACACTGATATTATCACAACTTACACATCAGACTGGTTTTGTTCATACAAAGCTTTCATCTCTTCCAGAACTTGTCTGAGTCCATCCTCCTGAAATGTATAAATAAATTCATTAATTTCCCAATAAATTTCAATCTGTACTATATTTATCTTTCATTTACATACCTTAGCCAAAAAGATAGGCTTCACAATATTTCCACGGCTAGATATTGCTAAGGAACATGAGATGGAATAGCTTGTGGAAATCAGTTCCACAGCTGTTCAAACACTTAAAAGGAATGGACATAGTTCCTGAACCCAGGATGCCACGCAAGAGGATCAAGACTTCAGGGTTTTCATGCACTACAAAGATACTTCAGGGTTTTCATGCACTACAAAGATACTTCAGGGTCTTCATGCACTACAAAGATACTTCAGGGTCTTCATGAACTACAAAGATACCCTATCTTAAACAAAGGACCACCATGCAACTCATTGGAAGAGTACTTTCCTAGCTTGCGTAAGACCTGGAGCTCTATCCCCAGCACCAGAAACAAGTTAAACTGAACTACCATCTGACCCAGCAATTCCACTCCTAGTCGCGTTTTCTTTTGTTTTTGTTTTTTGTTTTTGGCTTTATTATTTTCTTCCTTTCACTCGTTCATTTTTTCTTTCTACTACTGAGATAAATCTCCAACCCATACACAAAAACTTACACACAATTTTGTTGTGTCTTTGTTTTGTTTTTTAGGCTTTCACAATTGATCTTCTTGAGACAAAGTCTTACTAGTACTATGTGACCCAGGCTGACCTTACATTAAACCTCAGCATCCTATATCCTGGAATTACAGCCATACACTGGGCTTTATATGTGAATGTTCTTGGCAGCATTTTTCAAAATAGTCAAAAAGCAAAAATAATTCAAAGGACCAACAACAGATGGAGATATAAACCAGATGTGGTATATCACTCAGTGGAGTATAATTTAGCAGTAAGAAGGAATTAGTACTGATACATGCTACAAACATAGATAGATCCTGACAATTCCATTTTAAGCCAGAGACAGCAGACACAAAAGGACTGGAGTCTACTTATCTGGAATACCACCTAGGAAGGCAAATTCATAGACAGAAAAGCACTTTAGCCAGGCCTAGTAGCACATGCCTAGAAACATCTCAGCTACTGGAAGAAGTATCTCAAGATGAGGCCAGCTTGGACTACACAGTGAAATCCTATCTTAAAAAATAAAATAAAAAAAAAATTAAAGGCACACACCTTTAATTCTAGCACTTGGGAGGCAGAGGCAGGCAGATGTCTGTGAGTACGAGGCCAGCCTGGTCTATAAGAGCTAGTTACAGGACAGGCTCCAAAGCAACACAGAGAAACCCTGTCTCAAAAAAGAAAAAAACAAAACAAAAAAAAAAACAGAAAAACAAAACAAAAAAACCAAAAACCAAAAAAATCAAAATGAGGCCAGGCGGTAGTGGCACATGCTTCTAATCCCAGAACTCCAGAGGCAAAGGCAGGTGGATCTCTGTGTCTCTGTGAATTCGAGGCCTTGTCTACAAAGTAAGTTCCAGGACAACCAGGGCTACAGAGAAACCTTTCTTGGGGGTAGGGTGGGGATGAGAGCAGGTTAGATGACTCAGCATGTAACGGCACTTGCCTCCAAGCCTGATAACCTGAGTTCATCCTGTAGCTCACATGGTAGAAGGAAAGAACTGAGTCTCCTATGTTGTCCCCTGACCTCCACAACTGTGCTGTTGTACAAATGCCTCCACCCACATAAATCAATACATGTAAAAGGAAAGTGGTCATCAGGAGCTGTGAGGAAAGGGGAATAGGGTATTACTGCTTAGAAATGACAAAGTTTCTGCTGGAGCAATGAAATGGTTTTGGAAACAACAACGTGAATGTAATTAGTGGCACTGGAATGAACATTAATATAAAATGGGCAACTTTATATTAGAATGTATATTTTAACTATTAAAAAGATAAAACAAAGCCAGGCGGTGGTGGCGCACATCTTTAATCCCAGCACTCGGGAGGCAGAGGCAGGCGGATCCCTGTGAGTTCGAGGCCAGCCTGGTTAAAACCCTATCTAGAAAATCAAAAAAAAAAAAAAAAAAAGATAAAACAAATCAACATTTAAAGAGTACAGTAGGGGATGGGGAGATGGCTCAGTGGTTAAGAGCACTGGTTGGTCTTGCACAGGACCCAGGTTCAATTCCCAACACTCACATGGTGATTCATAACCATCTGTAACTCCAGTTCCTGCTCTCTTCTGACCTCTGTGGGCACCAGGCATACATGTGCCCACATACATACATGCGTGCAAAACATTCATACACACAAAATTTGAAAATAAATCTTTAAGCCAGGTGATGGTGGCACATGGCGTTAATCCCAACAGCTGGAAGGCGGAGGCAGGTGGGTCTCTGTGAGTTCGAGGGCAGTCTGGTCTACAGAGCAGGACAGCCAGCCAAGGCTACGCAAAGAAACCCGTCTAGAAAAAGCAATAAATAAATCTTTAAAAAAAAAAAGCTCAGTAAAACTACTCAACAACTGAAAACATATACCACAATAAGAATAGTTTCTTTGAAGCTAGCCAGCCCTGTCTCTTTAAAAAAAAAAAAAAGTCTTAAATAAATTATCCTGGGGGAATGAGGCCAGATATAGCTGCAAAGAGCGCACACTACATGATTCTATATGGCCCTTGACGGGGCATCAGGCCCTTTATAGAACTGTCAGCTCTTAGCAGACTGAACCCAGATACAAGGAAAGCGATTCAGCAGTTTCCCAAGGTTGCGGGTGGGACCTGGCTTCACAGGGACTCTGAACTACTGCACTTACATCAAAGGCTGGCTATAAAGATATACGTGGAGCTGGAGAGATGACTCAGTGGCTAAAAGCACTTGTTGCTCTCGCAGAGGACCTGGGTTCCTGGAACCCACATCCTGCAGTTCACAAACGCCTATAACCCCAGTTCCAGAGGATCCACACCCTCTTCTGGCTTCCACGGGGCACCTGCACGCACGTAACGCACACACATTAAAAAAAAAAAAAAAAAAAAAAAAAGAGTTCAAGGCCTTGTCTCAAAAATCAAGAAGCAGATGGAAAATTCACCAACTTAATGAGTAGCATTAGTCTTTTCTTTTCCTTCTTACAATTTTTTTGGCACAGTTTCAAACTTTTTGTTTCCGATCTCGGAACCTAGCCAGTAGGTAAAGAGAACACAGCAAGAAACACGTGAAAAGAACCTTCCTTTGGCAAGCCACTGCGGACAAGCCCAGGAAAGGTTCGCATTGGCCCCGCCCCCATGGTTGAGACCCCGCCTCCACGCCAGAGGCCACGCCTCACGCCCGAGGCCTGGTCTTGGACACGCCCTTGCCCGGCTGCTCACGTTGAAGGCCGGCAGCTGCCCTTCCGGCGCGCGGTGTAACTCGCGGACAAGCTCCATAGCCTTTTCGCAGAACATGACCGACGCTCCCGAGTCCCGCGGTCCTGTCAACTGCCAAGTCCAGTCACGCCAAACGGTCGCTGGGCTCTCGGCCGCGGCACTTGTATTGTTGAGAGCTCCAAAGCGCGCAGCCTCGCCTCCTCGCTTTGGCGCCAAACAGGTTTAACCAATAGAAGTGCGCTGTCGGGTGGGGGTGGAGTTCCTAAGGCGGCCGAGAAGGGACAGTTGACCTCCTTGAGCAGCGGTACTGAGAGGCTGGGAAATGTAGGGGTTAAGAAGATTGTTTCTTTCCTGGAGAAGCCCGGGAAGTCAGTTGCGTCTAAGACACTAAGCTCTTTTCGATTGTTCAGCGAAGTAATGTGTACATTCTTCCCTTCTTTTTTATTTTTTCCATTTGAATTAGTTACCTTTAGGTTCCAAGGGGCACCTTTAGGTTAAGAGGAAAAGACGAGAAACTAGTAATGACGAAGTGTTTTGTTTTAGTTTGGCAGTGCCGGTTGTTTGACGTTAAAGGGAAACCATCTTTTATTGGGTACTTTATGTGTAGTAGGGACTATGATGTGTATATCAGTTAATTCTCACAATTCCCGTAAGGGTTATTAGTATGCAGAATTGATAAGGAAACCTGAACGGTTAATTCACTGAAGGTCACACAATTCATAAAATAATTAAAACCTACTTTCTATGTTTTGCACTTTCAGCTCTTTGATTTTAAAGAAGTTATTTCAAAATACTTGCGAACTGGAAAATGTCACAGATAACAGCAGTTCAAAGCTTTATACTGTGGATGAATGCCTGAAGTCCCAGCACTTCTGGGGCTGAGGAAGGCAGATTCAGTCCAGGAATTCTAAAGGAGCCCATCTTTTTTTACTTTTGTTTGTTTTTCGAGACAGGATTTCTCTATGTAACAACCCTGGTAGTCCTGGAACTTGTTTTGTATACCAGGCTGGCCTCAAACTTACACAGATTCACCTGCCTCTACCTCCTACATGCTTGGATTAAAGGTGTGTGCTACCAGTGCCTGGTAGGAGCCCCACCAAAAAAAAAAAAAAAAAAAAAAAAAAAAAAGGAAGGAAGGAGAGAAAGAGAAGTTCAGGTAAAACATACTGTCTTAATTTGCCTTCTGTTGGTGTTATATGTTATGATCAAACACATTGCCCAAAAGCAAACTGGGAAGGAAAGGGTTAGTTTCCTTATACAGTTGTAGTCCACCAGGAAGGGAATTCAGGGCAGGGGCTCAAGCAGATGCCTTGGAAGAAGACTGTTCTTTGGCTTCTCATGGAATGCTCACCCTGCTTTACCCAGGACCACCAACCTGGGATGATACTCCCCTCAGGGATCTGGGCCATTCCAAACCAATATGAAGTTCAGAAAATGCCCCATAGATTGGCCAATCTGATTGAGGCAATTTTTCAAGAGTTCTTCCTCCTGGGCAGTGGTGGTGCACACCTTTAATCCCAGCACTCACGGAGGCAGAGGCAGGTGTATCTCTGCGAGTTTGAGGCCAACCTGGTCCACAAAGGGAGTTCCAAGACAGGTGAGAAACCATGTATTTCTGGGGGGTGAGAGTGGATTCTCTCTTCTTAGATGTGATTAGGTTTGTGTCAAACTGACAAAACCAATCGGCACATTTAACTACACGATTATGGGAAATTTCCTAACCTTACATAATGCAAGATAAAAACCACATTATTAGTGTTTTTGTTTTAAGACAGGGTCTCACTCTGTAGACCAGGCCCACCCCAAACTCACAGAGATCCACCTGCCTCTGTCTCCTGTATGTGTGCCAACTTGCCACACTATTTAGCTGATTTTTGAAAAGTGGTATTAATTTCTTTTAAGATTTTATTTAAATCTTAAATATTAAATTAAATATTTAAGTGTTCTGCCTCCATGCCAGAAGATGGCTCCAGATCCCATTATAGATGATTGTGAGCCACCATGTGGTTGCTGGGAATTGAACTCATGACCTCTGGAAGAGCACCCAGTATTCTTAACCTCTGAGCCATCACTCCAGTCCAGCGGTATAAATTTCTATAAATCAATAATGGAATTTTGTGGTGTTCTTTTGCAAATGTAGATCACAGGATTGCTAGAGGAACTGGACAGTGTTGAGAGACATGTTTCAGAGTCAAGTGCTGAGACAAATTGCCCTTCAGGTGAAACTTTGGTCATTATTATTAATGCCACATACAAGTATGGTGGGGTTCTGAACTAATAGAGGTCCTCCCTAAAAGATTTCAGAGGCATGTGGTCCAAAGCCAGACGGCATAGGCATGAAAAGGAGCCTGTACTACATGCTGGCTGCTTGAAGTCGGCTTGTATCTGTAACAGGAGGAGTGGGCTGCTTTTGTTCTGTCCCGCCCGGCTAGCTTATACCTGAAATAATCATACAGAAACTGTATTCATTTAAACACTGCCTGGCCCATTATATCTAGCCTCTTACTGGCTAATTCTCATATCTTAATTTAACCCATTTTCATTAATTTGTGTATTGCCACATAACTGTGACTTACCGGCAAGATTCTAACGAGCGTCTGTCCCAGGCAGGAGATCCATGGCACTCTGCCTGACTCTGCTCTTCTTCCCAGCATTCAGTTCTGTCTACTCCGCCTACCTAAGTTCTGCCCTATCAAAAGGCCAAGGTAGTTTCTTTATTCAACCAATGAAAGCAACACATAAACAGAAGGACTTCCTACACCATATCTCCGTTTCTGGGCCAACTGGGGAAGGAGGCAAGATTCTGCCTTTTGTGACTTCTGAGTCATAGCATGGGCCTGTCATCTTCCTGTAGCTGATCCTGCAGGGAGGGAGGTTGCTGGAGTGGGGCCTGATCTGTGAGGCTACAGCTCCTGATCTAACAAAGACATACATTATCTGCAAAATGGGTATGGGAATATCCCCACTTTAAATAGGAACTACTTGTCCAGGTGTTGTGGCTCATGCCTGTAATTCTGTCATTCCAGATGCTGAAGTAAGAGCATTCCAGAGAGTTCCAGGCCTGTCTCAGAAAACAATAGATATGCAGGTAGGGAGGTAGATAGCTAAGTAAGTAGGGCTGTTCCTTTTTTCCCTATTAGAGATACTTAGGTTAATCTGTACTAACACCCAGTTATACTGCTGTAGGTTTGTGTGTCACAGGCTGATAGTTACAACACTTCTTAGCCATGCATCTTTTCAATTTCAGCCAGGGGGCAAGTCCTTCACTGACCTTTAGATGTCTTCACTTTTAAAATGGGAACAGTGGTGTACCCGTGAGCAGTCTTGATGATTCAATCTTCCCTCCAGCAAATATTTATGAAGTGGGTACAATGAGCCAAGCATTGGTCCAGATACTGAAGATAATGCAGTAGATAAGGTCTTTTCTTGGAGTCTATCTCACAGGGTGGAAAACACCAATACAGATAGATATATCCATGTCAAGTATTTTGATGATCAGCACTAACAGGAATAAACCAAGGAAAGTGACCCCAGCAGCGAAACCCTGTCTCGAAAAACCAAAAAAAAAAAAAAAAAAAAAAAAAAGTGACCCCAGCAAAGATGAGAGGGTCTGACGGTTCTGTGTTAGTGTTCAGCAAACAGAGTTCTCAGAGGGCAGGGAAGTAACTCTGTTGGTGTGGGCTTTAGGGAAGCAGAGCTTTGGGGTAACAAGAATCAAAATGCCCAGGTCTTAAAGAGGGGCTAGGTAGCATGAAGGACCAGCAAGGAGGCAGTGATCCTGGGAGCAGTTGGCGCCTGAGCGTGTGCCTGGAGCTCTGCCAGGTAGGCTCTGCCTCTTTCACTGAAGTGTTTTCAGTGACATATTCAGACCTACTTAAAAAAGGAAATCCCGTGGCAGATGAGTTAGTCAGAAGGAAGAAAAACAGACATGAAGGCAAGAGACCCTTAGACCTCTAAAATAACCCAGGGTGGGGATTGGTAGAGACGATGGGAAGTGGTTAGATATAGAATTTTTTTTTTTTTTGTTTTTGTTTTTCGAGACAGGGTTTCTCTGTGGCTTTGGAGCCTGTCCTGGAACTAGCTCTTATAGACCAGGCTGGTCTCGAACTCACAGAGATCCACCTGCCTCTGCTTCCCGAGTGCTGGGATTAAAGGGCCACCGCCGCCCGGCTCTAGATATAGAATTTTGAGTAGTGGCTGACACAAAACTTGATGACTGGTGTGGTGCGATATTCATAAGGAAAAATGAAGGGTAAGACTCCAAGAAGGACAAGGATGGAGTTCCCATTCCTCAGTAGGGAAAGACTATAGATAAAGATGGAGTAGTTAGTCGTCAGCAAAGCATAGACCTCTACAGAAGAGCCATAGGTCCAGGAAGGGTATGACCCAGAGATACAGTGGGGGCTTATCAGGGTGGGAGTGTATTAAACACTAGAAGACCAGGAAATGAGGATCATATGGACAAAGTCTAGACCCCCAACCCATCCCCTCTTTCTGGATCCTCTCTCCAGTTCCCTCTTTTTTTTCTGGGCAATGGAACCCTGATCCTCAGGTACACTAAGGAAGTGCTACTGCTGAGCTATATCCAGCTCTTTTTATTTCTGTTATTTTGAGGCCCAGCATCCACTAAATTGCCTGGTCAGCCTGCAGCCTCCTGCTGTCAACCTTTGTAATAACTTCAGGCATGTCCTACTAGATCTATCTACTCTTTGTTTCTTTCTATAAAGATTTTATGATTGATAGGTAGAAAATTATTTTTTAAAGCATTTTATTTGCTTTTTGAATCTTCAAATCTATAGTACTGTTTTTGTTGTTGCTTTAAAGACTATGGATATTCACACAGTATGAACATATGTTGTGATATAGCAAAATGGTCAAATTCTTGGGAAACATCAAAATATCATTACAAAGTCAACATAACCCCTTACATTTCTAAATTCCTATTTAATCTTTATCAGTTGCCAAGTTTTCAAACTGATTGACACATGGTAAAATTAAAAAGTAAATTCGGAATAAGTAGTCAACTATGTATCTCTTGGTTGCAGGCCGTTAGTAAAATCAATGCCACCATATCAAACAAAGCAAAAACTATAAAAAGCTACATTCATGAAAGTGTGTTTTCCCTTTTTTTCTGGTGGATTGAATCATTACTTAATTTCGGGTGTCATAGTACAAATTTATCTTTGAAATGGATTTCCTGGCTTCCACCATTTCTAATCGTTTTT